TCATGTATAATTGACATGCAATAAACTTCACATTTCATACGTACAATTAACACATTTTGACATGTATAGACCCATGAAATCATCACATGAACAAGCTTTTTAATTTCTCGATTTACCTGTCTATTTCTGTGCTGGTTGCATTGACAGACTTTATTAACCAAGACAGTGGTGTTTGGAGAAGGGAGTGTTTAGCACTTTAAGACATATTTAAAACTATCATTGCTTCTGTGTTGATGTGGTCACAATATTAAAATTGTTTTTAATTGGATTTGGCATTAAAAAAATAAGATTTTAGAATTTATCAAACAACAGTGAAGATCATTTCAGCCTGTGTGTTGCAGATTCCAATCCTACAGTTCTCAGACAGTGAGTCCGGGAAAAAAGACCTGGGAAATTCTGCTTTAGGGACACAGAGATGAGTCAGATGTAGTTCTCACCCTCAAGAATCTTAGAATCTAGTGCTGGAGGAGCTAAAACTTACCCATAACAGCAATAGCACTGAGTAGAAGGTGGGAAGAGGTAAAATGATGGGGAGGATTTCAGAGCTGCAGTAACTTCCAGCTTGGGAATAAACTTCCATGAGGGGAAAATACATTTATTGCCTCCTTCACTTGTGTCTGTCAGAGGGAGGTGTGGAGAGCAATTTAAACAGATACAGACCCCGCCCGTTAATAGCTTAAAGCCGAATGCTGTGCATCACGGCTGACGGGTTGGGTGTGTGCCCGGCTCTTTTCCTGGATGGCTTCCAGCATTTTTGAGGAAAGAGTGAGTGTGCAGGACCCTGCGTTTGGACGCCAGCCCAAGCTGTCCAGTGGCCAGACACCTAACTGACTCATGTGAATGGGGGAAGCCCCCTCTGGGTTGCCTGTGTGGATAATAAGGCTCTCATTCACCTCCACAGCTAGGTCAGAGAGTGGCCCGCCTGGGATGTACACACCACATTGATAGATTACTTCTGGGCCCTGGGGGCCTCATTACCATCAGATCCATCATCTTCTGCTAGTACCAAATAATAGGTGAAATTTAATCAGATGCCAAAGGAGTCCTCATCAGGAGAGTTTGAGACACCCTGCCTGATACCGTGCTATAGCGCTGGGAGGATTATAAACAACCAGAATAATCTTTTGTGGTGAGACCAAATATATCATGCACTCTGTGAGTTCTGATTTATTTTTAAAACATTCTTGCTCCCATTGGCTCTCCTTTTAATAGTTTCACTGTAGCCTGTTTATTGTTACAGATGTTACTTTTAAATGAGGTCATTGAGCTTTCCTTTACTTCCAAAGGCAATGTTTGCCTTTTTATTGCGGGGTTGGCAGGGCTGCCTGGAGAACGGTGCTAATGTGGGATCAGGGTTAGGGCTTCAGACCCCAGGAGACTGGGTGGAGCAAAAGCCTCTTCCATGTTTACACGCGCTCGCGTCAGCCAGATGTCTCACGAGGGGCAGGTTTCCTGGCAGAGAGGCGAGGAGACGGGCATTGTGGTCACAGGCCGGCCTGACTCTTGTGGCCCCTTCTTGCCCGCTGTGAAACCTCAGCATGTCGAAAAAGCTCTCAGAGCCTGTTTCCTCATCGTAACTTGGAGATGATAATTTTTACTCCCGGGATTTTTGTGAGGATAAAATGTGAACTGCTTGGTATGTATGTTGGCAGGATCTGGGGATGGGAAGGGGAGTAATTGCTGAAAGCACCACGCTTTGGAAATGCTTTAAGGCATGTATGTATTAATAGTATATTTTGCGTGGCTTTGTTGAAGGACCACTGACCAAATCTAGCTTGCCACTCCTTTTTGTAAATAAACTTTATTGGCACACAGCCACACTCATTCATTTACAGCTGTCTGTGGCTGCCTTCTTACTACAAGGGCAAAGTTGAGTTGTTGTAACAGAGATCCTGTGGAAAGCAGAGCCAAAAGTGTTTCCTACCTTGATCCTTTACAGAAGTTGGCTGACCACTGTGCCAGACCTAAGGAACATTTCTATGCAGAGATCTGATCATTTAAAGCAGTGAGGAAGAGGGGATGAGTGGGAATTCTAAAGTGTTCCTGCATGTCTATGGAGTTTGCTCCATTCTGATTTAATGTAAACGCCTGAAGCCTTAGTGCGTGTTAAAAGATTGATTTGTTGAGGAGAGAATTAAATGGCATGTGTGTGAGCATTAGCACAAGGCTTGGCATGTGCTTGTGCCAGGTGTTTGTCAGAGTAGATTCTCGATTTTGTTCCATCAGACCCTGCCTGAGCATAACCCTGTCCGGCCCTGGGCCTGTGTTCCTAGAGGTGGGCAGGTCGATAGAGGCAGCACCATGTGTCACTTCTATGGCACAGTTACATGCTGTCCGGCATTTTTTTCTGTTTAGAAGTTATTTTTAATGATCAGCATAAAATGAAGTTTATTGACCGATATCTTTATCTTTGCTTTACACTCTGGAATTGTTCCAGTAACAATTGGAGCCAGCACTAAAGCCAGACCTGAATCTGTACCTGCCGGAAATAAAGATGACACTGGCATTTTAATGTTGACTGCATGTTTTAATTGCTGTTATGTTTGTTAGTTTTTCGAAAGCAATTAAAGTATTTGCGATGGCTCAAAAAGATAGTCCTCAGAAAACATATTGCTAATGGCAGGAAGACCTCTGCAAAGTAAATAAAACTTTAAAAATGGTCAGCCTCATTCAGATGGAGAAAGGGACAGGAGCTGAATAGATTGTCACTCTGTGTTCCACTTCATACAGGGCAACAGCAAATGATATGCACCTATGTACACTGTCCTTTGATGAATTATAAAGAAGAACTTGGCCTCTGGCCTCCTGTCTTGCTAAGCCAGCGTCTCCTGTAGTGACCCCACTATAAAGTGCTCACTTCCCTGCCCTCACACATTGGTTGCATCTTGGGAGATGGTTACATTCTCAGGCTTTCAATTAGACTGTGGGTAAGAGTTTAATCTTTTTGATCCCTTTACCTACATCCCACAAAGCACTTCTGTGCCCATGGTAGGCCCAAGAACAAATGAAGAAGAGTTGATCAAAGCCAAGTGGCCATGAGGATGATAGTTGATATATTAATAAATACAGGGAACTAGAGGCAGCAGGGCTTTACACCTGAAGCAAGGCCTGTCTGTCTCAGTAGGAATTCAGTCCAGCTAATATGAGCTACCATGGCAGGCCAGTCACTATCCTGAACACTAAGGAGAAAGAGTGGACCAGCGTGTTGCCTTCTTGGAGTTCACGATGCTGTAGAGGATGGAGGCAGGTGTGTGACTGTTGCACCAACCATCTGACTTACCAGAAAACCATCATTCTCACTATACCCGGCAGATCGTGACAGGTCCCATTTCAGAATTTGAATCCCTGATGCTAAGTATGGTATAAAAACATAAAATGAGCATACTCCTTAATATTTAGGGTGGAAGGATTTGGTGAGAAATACATTAGAACCAGAAGAGCTATGTTTGAGATGTGATCTTACCACCTACTAGCTATGGATGTTCATTTGTTCAAGAAATATTTACTATACTCTCACTGTGCAAGTATTGTTCTGGGCTCTAAGGAGACAAGGTCATGTTCCTGATGACAGGGACCTTAAAATTTAACTGGGGGTGAGAAGGGAGAGGAGAAAATGCACTGGTATAAAACAAATAAGATCATTTCAGATGGTGCTAAGTGCTATAAAGAAGATTAAACATGGTGATATTATAAAGTGCCACTTCTTTAAGCTTTAGTTTCCTCATTTGCAACATGGAGATAAGACCACATGTCATGTATGAATTTATAAAAATTAATGAAATACCCTGTGTGAAAGCTCTTTGTCTACAGTGAGGTAAAGGTCTGTCCTCATCCTTGGAGTCAGCCCTTGTAAACAGATCCTTATTTTGTCACGTGGATGTTTAGAGCATAATGTAGTTTTTAATCAAATACACCTCGCGCATTCCTTCTTTTTGCCTTTGCTCAGACTCCTCCCTCCACTGAATTTCTGCTTCATTTCCACCTAAATAATTCTGCTATATATTGGTTATTGCAGTAAGGCTTGGTTTTTGCTCATCTGTGTATATCTTGCAGCATGTGAAGCAGTGACCTGTGCATAGTAAGTGTAATAAACTACTGAGTTGGTTTGGAGCGGAGTTAAAGGGCACGAGAGCTCAGAGAAGGGAGGGGATTCTGTTGTGAGAGAGGGTCAGAAAGACTTCATGGAGCTGTGGGTCAGGATTGCACACAACAAGGTGGCTGGCTCTCGGGGCTGAGGGGATGGCAGCCACAGATCAGTGGCAGCAGTGCAGTATTCACAGGAAGAGAGGCAGGATGGCATGATGTAGGGAACATGGGAGTCAGGACACCCAGGTTTGTCTCCCAAATCGGTCACTTATTGATGAGGTCTTTAACAAATCACTTACGTACTCTAAGCATGTTTTCTCAACTCCAAAGTAGGAATAATAATACCACCTACATCCTAGTCCCAGCACCTGGCACAAGAATTATTCCATAGGTAACGGCTTTACTAAATGATTATGGTTCTGGCCTTTCGAGTACCACATATGCCGTTTCCCTGATTGTGAAGTGAGACAAGCGAAGGTAAGGTCGAGGTCTCAGGTCTAGTCCCTCTGGAGACTAGGCGTATTAACGTCACTGTTTTCTACAGCTAGAGAATGTCCCCCAAGCCAGCAAGCATATGCTAGCCCCACAGGGACCCGTGCAGGGAGAGGTGAGATTCATGCAAATGAATCATTTGTGCCAGAAAACTAATCCAGGACATGTAATGTCACCATACGATGTTAAGAATAATAGCTTCACTTAACTGAAACATTACATTTCTATACATTACATTTTCCATTCATGGGGCATTTTTTCAAGAGGCAGAAAGAAAATGATTCATAGAAAATTTACAACCTTATATCTAAGTGGGGTTTCTTCATACTACAAGCAGTTTATGCAAAACAGATGCCTGCGGAGCAACGCCTGCGTGCACCTGTGGGCCTGGTGGTTATATTTCATCTTCCTCACTCCTCCAGTTCTTGCAGACAACCTGAAATCCAACCCTGGAATTAAGTGGCAGTATTTCAGTTCAGAAGAAGGAATTTTCACTGTTTTCCCAGCACACAAGTTCCGGTGTAAGGGCAGCTATGAACATCGTAGTAGGTATGTTGACTTGCTTGCTAGAGTTTTCAACTGTTGATTGATTGATCTATATGAAATACGAACTTTTCATTTCTACACACAGCTCTGCCTCTAAGCTGTGGATTCAAATGTGTGCTTGTTCTGAAACGATTTCACTGTTTAATACATGTGATCTTGGTAATACTAGGGAGAGGCAAATGATAAAGCCTGGAGCTTTTCTATAACTATCTAACAAGCCAAATAAAACAGCATATTTACTAATGAAGTGAAATTGAGCACCTAGAGTGTTTTGAGCTTCAGTCATCTTTGTTGAAACATAAACCATGGTACTTTCTCTGTAGTGCAGCCGTAGAACATAACTTTGTAACATATCTCAGTTGAATTTGTGATTCTCAGCTTCCCTTTCTATGATAATGTGCTTGGCCATACTTTTGAAATTTACATGAAAATGTCAACTACTAGAAGTTTCAAGGTTGTCCAGAAAGCATTGGATTAAAGATCACTAACATCCTGCTTTTCTCACAGAAGTGACTGGAGATTGTGCCATGTAGCCAGAAGGGCAGTAATGGTGGGATGATTTGTATGACTAGACTCATTAATTTACAGAACCCCTGAGGCAAAGATACTTTCCTTTTGACAGTTTCCCGTTTGCAGTGTCAGATGCTTGATGCCAGAACATCTGGAGCCGAGTGCAAGGTGCCCACTTTTCATGCCACTGTCTGGAGTCTCAAAATGAATAATCACTTTAGCTTCCCCTCTTCTTTACTTTAAATGATATCTAGGATCTTCCTCCAAGACAAATACTTCCGTGCATTTCCTAAGAAGCACATTTCTCCCATTCCCTCCCCAAACATTCTGGTGAAAACTTGGGTGTCTTGGAGACTGGACCAGAAGTCATGACCTTGGCTTCTAAGTCTGGCTCATCTAGAAAAGCAAAGGCCACCATGAGCCATCAAATTTTACTTCTAAGAAGATAGTTTTAGATGGCATGCTTCTTTTAATGAAGGACCAATGAAGGATAGTTTAAAAGGGAAAACAGAACCTTGTCAAAATCAACATTAACCTACACCAGGCAACTTAGGTTTTCTTGTATCTCCACCCTAAATCTGCATTAATTCAACCCTCGAACCTCTCTTCCCTCCTGGCTAAATAATTCACCTTTCTCTCCTTATAGATTGCTATTCCTATCCCTTTACTTTCCTCTGATGCCTTTGCGAGTTCTCTGCATCCCTTGGAAGTGTAGAGTGGATTTCAGAACATAGCGACACAAGGAAGGAACTGGTGGCTACCAGTCATGCTATGAGGACGCCTCCCAGTTCGTACATTTAACGTTACTATTTATATATCCCACTAAAGGTAGTGTTCAACAACTTAGCGTGACAATGCGAACACATACCCTGCTTTTCATTTATGTGAGTTCAGTTAGAACAAAGGAAGTGTGTCATTTTAAAGAAAATCCTCTCGCCTAGCCAGGAGGATCTAAAAAGTTAAATATTTGACCTAGTTGTCAGGGTTGAGATGGTCAGATTTTCCTTCTTTTCTGTTCCCTGTTTTATTTCTGTAACCGTCTCTCCTGGCTTCTTTTTATCCCATTTCCCTACCGGCTCACTGGTATCTACTAGTGAAAATATAGCGGTACTTTAGTATTAATGCAGGATGTTGGGCCTGAGAACACTTAGTGTAAATTTGGCCAGATTTTGAGTTTTTTTGGTGCTTTGCCTACATTTATTAATTTGTGCCCAGGCTTTTGTGATTCAACTGGCATCTAACATTTCACGGGAAAATCTAGTGTTTAAGGGGTGTCAATAAAGGAGAGAATTCTCTTGAGGCCGATTTGCTTTCTTAAACTCCCCCTAATTTGTTCCAGCTTTAAAACTGTGAATAGAGACCTCATTAAACCTCTTCTCACAAACTTTCCCGCACTGCACATTAGCAGAGGGCTGCTTTGATAGGAGGCATTTCTCCTTTGTGGCTCCCCTCATCCCTCTTTTTCTTAATGTTGGCAAACAAAAACTTGGCAAGAAGAGTGGCTATCACAGGCTTGGACAAATTTTGATGGCACAGCTTTAAATGCTCTGATAAGGGGCCTTTTGGTGGCTGACCTGTGTGAATTGTTTCAGTACAGAAAGGAAAGGGGCCTCTTAGCAGAAGCCTTTGTATGGGAAGAGAGAAACCCAACCTGCTTTTCAGAGCTGCTCAGCATGCTCACAGGTTGTAGGCTGCCTCCCTCCTAGCAAAGCCTCGCCCTAAGTCTACAAAGGAGACTCCAGCCCTGGTGAGGGGACCTTTTTTCTCTCTCTTGGCCTGTCTCTCAGCCCAAGGGGCCACCCATTCCACTTCCTGTAGCAAAATGGATACCTGGGGGCAGTATCACTACACAGAGGTGAGAGAGTTGACTCTCAAGTGTGCTGAAAAAGCCATCCTCCCAAAGGCTTTGCTTCTGAAAAACTTCTCTTGGTTGCTTCAATCTTTAGAAGGTAGAAATTGCCAGTCCGTGTCTGGCAGGCACATATTGTTGTCCTGAGGTGGTGTTTGCAGTGCACCAATGTGGTTTCTTCTTCCATGCTGATCTCTCCATCCTCGTGCCATCCCTGGAAGAACACATAGAGACCAACATGCCCACACATCTGTAGTGTCCACAACTGTGTTGCGGCCTTTTACCTAAACCAAGACTGACCTTAGAGAGCTTCTCCTCCCTCTAGACCCATCTACGTCTCTACGGTCCGACCACAGTCAAAGCACATAGTAGTGATCCTGGACCACGGGGCTTCAGTCACCGACACCCAGCTTCAGATTGCCAAGGACGCTGCTCAGGTCATCCTCAGCGCCATCGACGAGCACGATAAGGTGACAATTATCCCGGTGACCCCTGTGGCATGGGGTCTTCCTTGAATGCTTTTTTATAATTACTTTATTGTTTTGTGATATAGAGATGCTCCTTGACTTATGATAGGGTTAAGTCCCATTCTAAGTTGAAAATATTGTGAGTCAAGAATGCATTTAATACACCTAACCTACCGAACATCATAGCTTAGCCTAGCCTACCTTGCGCATGCTCAGAAGACTCACATTAGCCCACAGTTGAGCAAAATCATCTAATACAAAGCCCGTTGTATAATAAAGCATTGATTGTCTCATGTAATCATTTCATACAATCCACTGTAAACTATGGGTTTTTACCCTCATGATCGTGTGGCTAACAAGGAGCTGCGGCTCGCCGCCACTGCGTGGTATCTCCAGAGTATGGTCCTGTGTGTCACTAGCGTGGAAAAAGATCCAAATTCAGAATTTAAAGTACAGTTTCTATTGACTGCATACTGTTCTTGCACCATCATTAAGTCCAAAAGCTATAAATTGAAACTTCATGAGTCGGGGACCATCTGTGTATTTTGTTTTTAATCTATGTTTAAATGGCTTTGGGAAAAGAGAGTGGTTTAGTTTTTATTCTAATATTTGAGGAAGCAGCTGCCAATCCAAAGATCTCTTTTATAACCCCCACTACCAAACTGAGTCGTGTAAGGCTCCTGTTAAGGTTTCTAATTAGCCATGACTTTCACTCCGAAGTTACACTAAGGAGGAGAAGGGTGGGATATTTGGATGCTGCTGGATGGTTGAACTTTATCCCGAGATTGATGGGAAGTTGGGGAGAAGGGGAGGCTGCTAGTGGTTTACTGATCTCCAGGACACCTCCAAGAGCGAGAGGTATGTGTACGGCTAATGATAATCTATTGCCCGTGGACATTTTCTCCTTTATCATTTTGCCTTTGCCAACTCCAGAGGTTTTGCTCACTAACCTCCTTGCCTAAAACACACACCCCATTCCCCTACCCTCACCCCCACTTCTCATTTGAAAACCAAGATGGTTAGCTCTCATTAAGACATTTCTCTGCATAAAATAACTTTCTTGTTTTTTAAATGTTATCTGTGCATACAATACTGCTACTTCATCTGGGAACAAAATCAAACTCTAGAGCCCCCACACCCCTTAATCAGTTCTTACTAATCCTTTTCAAATTTGATAGATTGATGCCTCCAGGCATTTATTTGTATTAAATAAACTCTCAGAAACGGTTCTGTAGGCCTTCTCCCCTCAGCTGGGCTCTTACGTTATGTTTAAAAAAAAAAAAAAAAAAACTTTAAGTGGTAACATAAGTTTTTTTTTTTCCTTTCCTCCAGATTTCTGTGTTAACTGTGGCAGATACCGTCAGAACTTGCTCGCTGGACCAGTGCTATAAAACCTTCCTGTCTCCAGCCACCAGCGAGACAAAAAGGAAAATGTCCACCTTCGTTAGTAGCGTCAAGTCCTCCGACAGTCCCACCCAGCACGCGGTGGGATTTCAAAAGGCATTTCAGCTGATTCGAAGCACAAACAATAACACAAAGTTCCAAGCGAGTAAGTGCATTCTCTCTGAGGACCTATAAGCATCATAAAGATAGCAGTAGGAACATATTGTAAATCGATCCCATAGCTGTGTTTAGAGGGATTTTTTTTTTAATTGATTTGAGATAAAATTGTCACAAATTGTCTTCACGAGCATCTAATACTAGGATCTTACTAGATTGTCTTATCTTTTCCAACCAAAGGCAGTCAGTCTGCATGATTCTTTGACTCTGAGAGCCTCCTCTTCCTACCCCTTTATTAAGAACAGAACCCCGTTTATTTCCCAAGGGAACACCCACGTCCTTTCTAATGCTAATTGTCAGAGTTGCCTCCTCATTGACTTGGGGTCTGCTTGTGCACATGGGCACATGAAGGGGGCAGCAGGAATTCTTGCCTTGATCCTGCTTCTTCTAGCCAGCTGTCATTTAGATGAGCACAGTCCTTCAAATGTACAAAGGCACTCTAATTTAATTTTTATGTATTAAAGAAAATATGGAATTAGGATGCATACCAAAGTCAAGGGAAAGATATTTGAAATGTGGCTCATGCTTTGAAACTACTGAAAGGAATCTATTTCATTTTCCCTTTTATATTAAAAAATCTATTTGTAGTTTTTTTTTTCCTTTTTGTGAGAACATTAATGTATCCTGTTGAGATAAATTTAAAGAATAAATTTCCAAGCTCTTCGTTGTGTCTGCATTTAAACTAAGACGGCACTAATAAATGCAAAGCACGATGCCTGGCACTATGTGCCTGGGCCCTCGGAAGAAGGAAGCTACTGGAATGATGACAACTAATGAGGGTAGATAGTGTGTTAGTTTTGTTTCGGCATAACACATTACCACAAACTTAGCAGTTTAAAACAATATACATTTACTATCTCACAGTTTCCATGCGTCGGGAGTCCAAGTACAACTTAGATGAGTCCTCTGTTTTAGGGTCTCCCAAGGCTGCAGCCAGGTGTCAACAAGGCTATGTTCTCCTCTGAGGTTTGGAGTCCTCTTCTGAGCTCACTGGCAGAATTCATTTCCTTGCAACCGTAAAACTCACTGTAAACTTTACATCATGTAACTCTTCTTCAAGTCCCTGGCTTCAGGGAAGGCTAGGACCCTCCTTTAACAAGCTCAGCTACACAGATCAGACCCACTTGATCTAATCAGGTTACCCTCCCTTGTGATTAACTCAAAGTCAGCTTCTTCGGGACCTCTGCAATATCCGTCCATCTTTGCCAAATATGCAGCACAATCCCAGGAGTGATAGCCCCTCACCTTTGCCATATTCTGTTGGTTAGAAGCAAGTTCCAGGTTATACCCACACTCAAGATTATATTTAATACAAGAGTATATGTATATGGGTCATTTGGATCATCTTAGAATTTTGCCTACTAGCATTGGCAAGCACCAGCTATCCACAGGCCAATATTATGGGATGGCTGAGTATAAAGTTGCCCATGGTTCAGTTGAGCCAGTGGACTAGGCCGGACTCAGGTCTTCAAGGCAGATTGGCTCGGTTGTCAATGCCATCTACCTGTCAGCATTCCTCATTCTCAGAAGTATTCTTCTCGATTCTTCAGTCATTAAGCCATCTTTAGAGTTTAAGTCCAATTTTGATTATCACAGTTTTCAAACAACGGAGAGAAATGTTAGACTAGCAGTTGCGATCTCAGATGCCTACAGTGACCAGGCAGTGAATGTGAGTCCAGCGAGCTGGGGTAAGGTAATGAGGATTAGTTGGAGAACATAGTAACATAGATAGCTGTGTGCTCCGCCAAGGGGCAGCTGCTCTTCTGTTCAATCTATTATTGCTATGCAGGAATGTCTGCTTAATGTTGCCAGATCTTCTGTTTCAAGAGAAGCCAGAAATCTGCATTTCTATGTGAAATCCCTTGATTTTCAAATGTTGACATTTGTTCCAGCTTTAAAACTGTGAATAGAGACCTCATTAAACCTCTTCTCACAGACATTCCTACACTGCATGTTAGCAGAAGGCTGGTTTGATGGGAGGCATTTCTCCTCTGGGTTTTTTTGCGTTTGTTTTTCTTTTCTTAATGTTGGCAAACAAAAACACAGGAAGAAGGACCATGAGAGACTTGGACAAATTTTGATGGCACAGTTTTCTAAATGCTCCGAGGAGCCTGTTTAAAGCCAAGTAAGATGTTTCTAAGGTTTAGCTCACCAGCCTCCAGTTTACAGCTTTTACTGGCAGCTTAGAGAAAAAATAGCCCAGATTAGTTTATATAAAGAAATACTTCAGGAATTAGCATTGTCCAGTTTATTAAGGAGAGGCTTCAGGGTGCTCTCGAGCAGTATATATCCTAGGAGTCAAGTATGTGGGTTTTGGATTTCAACCAGTGTTCTACTCTGAAATTTTTCTAACCTTGTGAATTTGTCTAAATTATTTGATCTCTCTAGACCTGGTTTCCTCCTCTGCAAACTGGGGGTGATAATAAGATCCAGCATTCTGTCCTAAATATTCAATAAATATTAGCTGTGGTTATTATGATATTCAGTTTTCTATAAGACTTCTAGCTCCCGCTAAACTAGAGCAGATACCCTAGATGTCCTAAGTTGACCCTAAGCCCAAGGACAGCACCAGTAGCCTTGACAACAGCATAGTCAGGGGTCTGCTACTCTTCCCAGGAGTTTATACTATACATCACTACTTCTCTTCACCCCACAGATGATTATTTATCATTTGCTGTGTGTCTGATGTGGCTTTAGGTGCCATGGACAAGATTATTCGAATGAGTAAGAGCTGCCCTTTAGGATTATTGTAAGGGTTAGTCTATGCATGAAATTAAAGTGTCTGCCCCATATTAGTAGCCATATAAACAGAAGCTACATGTCATAGATCATTGTTGGTTTGTACTAATTTTCTTGGTACCAATCAGAAAATCTAAAACTTTTATACAATGCTGACTCTTCAGTCCCATACGTAGATCTATAACTGATAGCATTAACACTTTTGGGGTTGTTTTTTTCCTGATTTTTTTGGGGGGGTAATTGGTTGGGGGATCATTTTATAGCAAAAAAAAAATAAGATAATTAGGAGTGTGGATTTAATGGCATGGGCAGAGCCCAAATTTGAGTTGTTCTTCCCATTTAGATATTGACCCCAAGACATGCTGCTGGCTTAGAGACAAGCTCACCAAATGGGGAGTCTGTTGCATTTTCTTCCATTTATATGCTGCAAATGCATCTTTGCTCTGTCCCAAGTCCCTATAATTGCTCATCCCTAACATTACTAATCACAAGTAATGCATAAAGAAAAAAAAAGAGCAGCCAAACTTGACAGATCTGATAAGTAAGAATAGAAAAATACTGTTTTTATTGAGGATAAGGTAGAAATCTTGTCAGGGGCTGGGAAGAGCCAGTTAGGATGCTTCCAGAGTGTAGGTCTTATTGTTAGGATGGAAAGAAATTGTGCTCAGCTGTCAAAGAAGCCCAAGGGCTGCAGGCCTTCTAGTTTTCCAAACATGGGCCTGTGTCCTAAAACAGCTCTCAGTGACAGTGTATTTTATCCAGAATCATAAGACTAAGTAAGAAAACTCAAAGGGTTCTCTCTTAGGTCAGTCCAGGTGTGTCTAGGATTTATCACACATGGTACATTTGCTATAAGGAGATGGTTTGTTTTATACTGTAGTATCAGCTCATGGCCTATCTGTATTTTCCCTCACTAGGGAGTCAAGCATTTTGTTTTTGTTTTTATTTTTGTTTTCCAGTTTGAAGCTTAAATGAAATGTTTAGGGTCCTTATAAAATAATTTATAGGACTGTATTTAGAACGTTGAAAAAAATTGGTATTTAGTTTTAAGACAGGAATATTCCTAAAACTTATGGACTTTTTCGTGTGTGTATCAACATTCACTTCCTAATCTCTGATAACTAAAGAGTGAATTTGAAATTTGCAGTTAATGTTCATAAGAGAATTGTTTAAGCATCCAAATTGGCTTTAAGACTTGCCTCTATTTTACATGTTAGAAATAAATAAGAGGAACGTTGAATGCATTTACTTCTTTGAGTCAAATTTTATTCACTTATCTACAACATTGATACTACATAAATTAACTCTTCAATTCTGCGTAATAAGAATACTTTAAAATCTAAAATGGAAATTTACAAACCAAAGGAAATTCAAGCATTGCGTCTTCATTATTAGGATAATTTTTAAAAGGATAACTGTATTTGTTATATTTTGTGGCATAACGCTCAGTGATTTAAAACAATGCACGTTTATAATCTCATAGTTTCTGTAGGTCAGGAATCTGGGCACGGCATAGCTTAGTGCCTCAGTCAAATATCTCATGAGGTTGCAATCACACTGCTACCCACAGGTGCTGTCATCTCAAAGTGCAACAGGGGGAGGATCTGCTTCCAAACTCACTCACTTTGTTGCTGGAGGGATTTTCAATTCTGAGAGCCTCTGTTCCTCATCTCTCCATGGGACTGTTTACAGCCTGCCAGCTGTCTTCCCTCAGAGTGAGAAGGCACCCACTGCAAGAGCCACAGTCTTTTTGTAACCTAATCTCAGTCTTGATGTCCCATCACCTCTGCTGCATTCTGTTCATTATAAGCGAGTCACAGAGTCCAACCCACACGCAAGAGGAGGTAACAACCCTAGAACGTGAATGAATATCAGGAATTGGGGCTGTTGGGAGACCAACTCGGAGGTTGCCTGCCACAGCCACTATAAAGCAACCTCAGTTAAATGACAACAATAGGAACCAGAACATATAAGTGTATAACATATTAATATGTCAATATTTATTTCTCAATAAAAAGATAAACTATGTAGGATGTCCTAAAAATATATATTGAATCAAAGAATCTCAGATTAGAAAGAAAATGTAAAAGTCCGGCTCTCTCTCCTCCCTCCTTTTATTAAAATGGGGCATTCAGCCTCTGCTTGTTTATATCTCTAGAGGAAGGAGATTCATCACTTTTTGTTTTTGAGTCAGTCCACTTGACAGATGTGCTTCCCACTGAGCTAAAATTACTTCTCAATTACTCTACCCATCAGCAATATTCGGAAAGTAGTTTTGATCTTAAATCAGAGGTGCCACTGCAGACCAGTAGAAGGGGTTCGTTTTGTTTTGTGTGTGTTTTGAGGTTTCATCCTCTTTTTGCCATCACCCTTTTGCTCACCCTCTTTACTAAAATGACTTAAATCAGTCCTATTACTACTCCATCTTATAGGCAAGGAAATTTAGGTTTAGAGAGGTCAAAAAATCTGCCTCAGTCTCCCAGACTCAGCCTGTAAGGAACAGAGCTGGGTTTTGAACACAGGCGACTGGCTCCTAAATCCATGTTCTCACTGCTCTACTACAGTGCTGAGATAGTTAGTGTAGTTGCAGATAACCTTACGTATCCAAAGAGCCCCTGGAAGAACGAACCATTTTAAAGCCTAGTCCCCCTAAAATGTGTGTTCATGGCGGTGATCCTGCATCACTGGGGAAAGGATAAATCATGTTCAGATTCCTCCGTTTCAGAGGGCAGGAGAGATTTCCACTTGGACTGGCTTAAATTACTATAACCGTGGGTGCCTACAGGGAATCGCCTTCTTTTATCCGGGAAATTTATCAGGAACATCTCTTTACCTGACACTGGATAAATGAGGCCTCGCTGTCCAGAAGGCGCTGGAGGGAGGAAAGGCAGAGGCAGGGAGATGAAAGCCGCGGCATCGAGCGGGAAGGACTGGGAACAGCGGGCCAAGGGGTCCTCGAGGTGGGGAAGTCCAGGGGAAATGAAAAGGAAACTGAACTGCTGCCTTTAGCCAGAATCCAAATGGAGCATTCAATTTGTATGTTTTTGTTTAGATACAGACATGGTCATCATTTACCTGTCAGCTGGCATTACATCAAAGGACTCTTCAGAAGAAGATAAAAAGGCAACTCTCCGAGTCATCAATGAAGAAAATAGCTTTCTAAACAACTCCGTAATGATTCTCACCTATGCCCTCATGAACGGTAGGTAGCGTTTTGAGATTTTCCTTTCAGATCAAAGATCTCTCTAAATGTACGCTGCTTTAAAAAAAAGAAGAAGAAGAATCATAACAGTGTGCTCGGACGAAGGCTCTGGGGAAAGGCGTAAGCTCTTTCTCTACCTCGCGCTGGTATTCAGGGCATGTGAAAATGTCCCTTTCTCTTCATCTCTCTCCAGCCAACTGCTCGTTTCTAAACCTTCTCCCCATAGATGGTCTTGCAGAGGATTTTGTACAGCTCCCTTTTTTTCAGTTCTCCTTCCTATTCTAGGATTACCTAAGGTTTTAACTTATCTCATTGGTTGAAGCTGCAGGAAGCCAAAGCACTGACCTAGATTCTTCTGTGTAACCAAGTCTATGAATATCACATTTCCCTGCAGAATCACTACCTGAAACCTCTTCTGCCACTTTCTCCACCTCAGCTTCCTTAGCTGTGGAATGGAGATAAGAACTATCTACTTTGCAGGGTTGTTGTGAGGATTCGCCTTAGCGTACAGTAAACACATAAGACAGTACCTGGTACTTGCGAGGTACTTGTTAAAACTGATTGTGTTGCTGTTAAATGACAGTGTGCAAAAGGGGTTAGGAAACTGGCAAATTTGAGCCACGACTCCACTTTTTTTCCTTCTGCCCTCCAACATGTCGTCCAGTCTGAGAACAACACAAACTTCGAACCTCTGTAGAAAGTTGTGTCTCTCTGTCAATACATTGTTTTGTCTCACAGCTACTTCTTCGGGCCCCTTGCCCTGGGTCCCAAGGTGGCCGCCTTCCCTTGTGCTTAAGAAACCATGTCTGGATCCAGCAGCCTTTCCAACCTGCAGTCTTTTATTTCCTTCTCCACTGCCAGATCTCCATGCAGAACAATGTGATTTTAGGGACAGCAGCTCTCATATTTTAATGTGCTAAGGATTACTTGGGGAATGGTTTTAAAATGCAGATTCCCAGGCACTGCCCTCAGATTCTTATTCAGACCATCTTAGGAGGGTTCCAGAAATCTGTGTTCTGGCCAGGGTGATTGTATTCCAAATGTTTTATGGACCACTCCTGAAAGAACATGGGCTCTGATGTCCAGCAGTCCTTGGTTACAGTCTGCATTTACTAGATGTGTGGCTTATGGCAGGTTACCTGATCTCTTTAGGCCTCGGTTTTACCTATGAAATAAGAATAATAAAATCTACTGCATAGGGTCGCTGTGATAATAAAATACAATGTGTGTTTAAGGTTCTTAATATGGTACCTGGTAAATAACGGGTACTCAAAGCCAGTTTAAGGAATGAATAAAAGATGATGTGGTTCCCTGTGTCAGCACAGCTCCTAGGTGGAGGGCAAGTCTCTGTTCGGCGTCCTCTGGCGTGCTGTGCTCACTTTTGATAAGCATGTCTCCTGCCATGCTATAGTGAGGTGCTCACATGTTGTCCTCTCTTCCTTCTCCCTCTGCTCTTCACAAGAACGTGAGTTTTTCAGGCGTGGACTGTGTCTTCGTTTTCTTTGCATTCTGAGTGCTTAGCACAGGACTGGGCCCAGCTGAAGGGGGTAAGGGTAGCTTCTTTTTGCCTGGACACACACCCTGCAGTGTCATCTCTGGTTGCCTGTTGTTCTTTTCTCCTTTGGGTCAGCTTCTTTCACTCATGAGAGGAAGAAAGGGAAGGGGGAAGGAAGGAGAGTGGAAGGGGGGAAAAGTGAAATTGACTGAGTACCCACAGTGTACAACATAGTGGACTGAAATTCTAGAGCTGTAGCATACACAGTCCCTGTCGTCAAGAAGCTTATAACCTAGTGAGGAAAATAGACAAGCAGGTGAATTAAATGCAGTAGTAGAGGGAGGAGCAAGGAAGTGACGTTCTTTCTTTTCATTGGATTTAAGGGTCTGCCCAGGCAGGTAGGGAGAAGGCTTCCCTGCTGTCACCTGTTCCTTCTGTGGTCCTAAGTCCTTCCACCAGAGTTTCTTGTACATTTGCTGTGTCCCTGATAACTCCACACTTGAAAACCTCTAGGAACTTCTGTCTAGCCATCCTTGTCTCTTCCCTTTCTCCCCAAAATCTAGCCAGACACACATCCTCATGGCCAGTTTTCTTCCTTTCCCTCTCAGAATTCCATTTCTGAGTATTGATCACCAGAGTAGACACATTCCCTCACTCTGTCAGTCAGGGCTCAAATAGGGAAGCAGAACCACTATAAGAATTTTGGAATAAAGAATTTATTATCAGAATAAGAATGCACACAATTGCGAAAGAAAGTGGAAAAGTAAAGGTCCAAAAAGAAGAGTTGACAACTCAGAGAAAGTTTAGTAACCAAGTCTGGAAGGTAGGAATACTGAAGACCACTCTGGAGGCCTGGCGTGGAAGTCTTGGCCTTTTGTGGCTGCTGGTCCCTGTGCATTCTCAGTGAAGCATCTGGAACATGCCGGAGGTTGCTGTTGGTGAGCAAGCCAGCAGTTGGGAAAGGGAATTGAATGCAGAACAGACAAACTAGAACATTCTGGTCCTTCTGTGTCTCTCACCACCTCCTACTTTGCCTCCCAAATCTCCCAATGCAGTCCTTCCCTTTTGGCATCTTTAACCTGGAGGCATACAGGAAAGGGGATTCAGGGAAATGTAGTTTCTGGCATGACCGTGTTATCCGTAGACAATCCAGCACACTTACCAGTCAGCCACCCTACAGACCCACCTGCCACCCCTGCACAGCATTTCATGATGGAGTAACACAAAATACCCGATCCTCCACAGGCTTCCAACCCACGCTGCTCTTCTTTGCCTAGTGGATATTCTTGTTTGTCACTTTTCTGTTATATTTTGAGACAGCCAAGCAATGCATGACAAAGAAAGGAAATGTATTTATCGCCCGAGTCGTCTCCTTTTATTGTTTCGCCTCTGAGCTTCTCAAGGTTATGAGGTCAGGAATCAGTCACGTCTGTTGCGTTGTCTTTGCCTCGGAACATACCCCTCACCTCCTTCCACAGCTCTGTGCAAGCAAAGGGAACAATAATCCAATTCTGACTTAATTTGGCCCACGTTGTTTTTTCCTCCCCTTTCTTTTAGCATTACATGAGTGGAGTAAAATTCAGGTTTATTTAAATATATTTTAAGGAAAAAATTATATCCATTAGATTCTCCCATGACTTTAGAAATGGACTTCTGATGCTGGAAATATGTACACTTGTCATGTAGAAATGATAAAGACACGTGATAGGTGAACTATGAAAGTTTCAGATTCTTTTTAATGACTGAACGGAATGTGAAGCAAAACCTTTTTAAAACGCAATGGTAGAATCTCAGTAAAGACTGAAATCGTTTGAATGTGTTTACAGCGATACCCATATGTGATCAGTTTCTAATCCTTTTGATTGTGATCCAACAATAGCAAACTAAAAAAATGGTTTATTAAATTTGTTTTTGTGCTATAGATTACAGATGTTGTAGAATAATACGTCCCAGTATTCCTAAATCTTGTACAAAGTTTTCAAAACCCTCTAAATGTAAAAAAATATACATCGGATAAATCAAATTCAGCATTATCCTAACAATATCAAGCATGAAAATATTTGTAATTAAAATGAGCTTAAAGAAACAGGGTTGGGAGGCATCACTATATGAAATTCATAATCCCTTCATTTAGTTGCATGAGATTTTGGCAAGTGCTTTTACAGGCGGAGAGGTAAGGAATGAAATGGTAAACCTCTATCCTTTAGAACTCTTACAGTGTCATCTGCTGCTTTAAATTAAATGCAGACTTGTTAATCATTACTTTCAAATATTAAATTCAGAAAAAGAATTTAAATTTTATAATTAAACTTTTGGGGGAGAATACATTCTTACTGAATGGGACTCCTTTATTTACTCATGTGTTTTTCATCATTGCCTTTTGAAGAATCCCTTTCCCCTCTTGCCTATTTAAGGGAAGACAATGCCTCAGGCTTTATTTCCTGAACAGGAACTGGTATGTGTGTCCTGAGTCCACATCATCTCTGCAAAGACGCCTTTGGCATTGCAAGACCTCATCCCTGCACAGGTCAGACCTAAATGGCAAGATATTGTATGGATATAAACCATTTTGCTTTCCGTGGTCTTCCCTTGGCTTTCAATTTTAGATGGGGTGACTGGTTTGAAGGAGCTGGCTTTTCTGAGGGATCTGGCCGAACAGAACTCTGGGAAGTACGGTGTGCCGGACCGGACAGCCTTGCCTGTGATTAAGGGCAGCATGATGGTACTGAACCAGTTGAGTAACTTGGAGACCACAGTCGGCAGGTTCTACACAAACCTTCCCAACCGGATGATTGACGAAGCTGTCTTTAGCCTCCCCTTCTCTGATGAGATGGGAGATGGTGAGTTTGGAAAAAACTTCCTATTAAAGGGAGAGGGAAAGAACTGGGCAGATAGAAATGGGCACCCCTTTTTCAGGATCATAGGATTGCATAACCCCCTGCCAGCTGTCCCGCAGCACTGTATTCTAGAGCAGAAATCTCCAGCCCTGTTTCTTCCTTAATACCCTAGCCTCAGTAGACTTATGGATGTATCTTCCAGGGAGGCTTTGTGAGGGTTTGCCAATATCCGAAAGTTAGTGAATTGGGCCTAAAGGGTAGCTTTGTATCACAAGTGGTAAATAAAGCTCAGAAGTACTTAGGATTCAGCCTCAAAGACAAGGCAATCTGGCATAGTCAAACAAACGTGAGCTTGGCATCAGATGGGCTTTCAAATGCCACTCTTCCACTTAAGCTGTTGTTCTTGGTAAGTTATTTAATCCTGTCAGTTCTCCATTTGGTCATCTGTTAAGGGGGTAAAAAATCTTTCAGATTATTAGGATTAATTAGACAATGATATATAAGACTTATCAGTAACTGGCATTCCACCCAATTATAATTACTACATTTTATGTCTTTAATTATTTAACCTTTGTTGTTATCATTATTATTATCATCATCATTATCATCCTGATGCCTAAGTTACCCATAATATGATGTTGGGTAAATGCTTAACCTTCACATGATTCTATTTTCTCACCTATAAAATAGAAAATATAATATTTCTCTCACAGCAACTGTGATATTAAATTCAATAATGTATGTTTAAGCATCTAGAACAGTGCCTGGCCGACAGTATGTTCTCAGTAAAAGTGCAGTCTTTTTCTTTTCCTCCACGATATTCTTACTCATCCTTTTCTCCACATCCTTCTTTCTTGCCTTCCTTGACAGAAGATTGAAGAGGCAGATAATTACTAGCCAGACAGACACTATCACCATTTGAGATCCTGTTTTTTTATGTTCGGTTAACTAGGAGCTCTCGCAAATCATAGATATTCAGAGAAAACTCATGTGTAGAAAGTAATAAGCCTATAGAGAATGTATTTTCTGGAAACTAGTTAAACATACTTATTCTTTAAGGAAGAAATATGCCAACTGCTGTTATACCTTAATTTTTGTATCCTTCCCATTTCTGACAGGGCCCACAGATATATATAGAATAGAAACTCCTACCTTTCCTTTATAGTGAAAATATTGAGTCTTGAATGCAAATTACCTTTAATCCATGTACCCAACATTATTGAGTGCCAGCCAAGCATTGTGCCAGGGAGTGATTGGTAAGGCTCACATCCTACCCTCAATAAGCTCTTAAGTCTGATAAGAGAAAGACAAATCAATAAATCCTGTTAATACTCTGTGAAAGGAACAAAGACAGATGTAGAAGCCCATTCCTATACAAACCGAGAGAATTGTATAGCCAAATTATATTACCAGTAGTAGTATCAGGTAGGGTAGGACTCTCCCTAAAATTGACCTCTACAACCCAGAGAGCTACCCCAAATGCCTTAGACCAAATCACTTTGCTCACCTGGTGGCTGGTGTCATTCAAATTTTAGTCATCGGAGCCTGTTTTTTTAATCCTGTGCAGTGGGTTTCAGTGATTGGTTTACAGTTCTGTTAAATTCCCTGTTAAAAGTGTGTCTTTTCATCTTTGTGTTTTCAGTCCCTAGAATTATTAGGTGACAGGTCCTCTGACCCTGTGACATGAGGCTCGAGTCTAGGGAAACTCATCTTTACAGGGCTCTAATTCAAAATCTACACAAATTAAAATATCAGTTACTGAACATATTTCTTTTCGAAAAGCAAATCTGTATACTTCAGGTTAAAGTAGAGAGAGTGTTTGAGGATTTTGTCAGGGTAGCAAGAGCTTAGCATACTTTATTTGCCATAATGAGATAAAGAATCTTCTCTCCAAGTTGATAATTGAAAAGTAAGATTGTGTTTCTTTTTTAAGACTTTGTTCTTAACACATCCAGAGGAGAATAGAAATTTGAAGCGAGCGTGCAACCCAGTCACACGGTATTTCTGTTGTACTTTACTGATCCATGAAAATGGCTTTAATCTGAGACTCAAGCTCAGAGGATTGTGGCATGCAGATTGTGACCTCTGTCTCTATGCTGGTCAGTCCAGCCTACTCCTAGGACCCGTTCATCTAGGGAGACCCAAACAAAAACCTTCTCCAAAATGGATTTTTAAACCTTCTTAAATACCTGTTATTTTTAAATGTTTTTGAACAGGTGGATAAATAGCATTCTTCTAAATGTGAGCTGCTTAGATAATGCTTTTGAAACTATAATAGACATCTGTTGCATGACATTTCACAAGCTTTTTCAGTGCTGTGTCCAATTCTTCCTACCAGGTGATGTATTTACTTAGCCTCTGCAACCACAGCAACTCGACAATAATTCAAGTGGACACCATACATGATTCTCTGTGTGGAAGCCCATTCTCAAATTCTTTTCCTGGATATTCCTGGAAAATGGCTTTCCGATAGGCTGCTAAGGCATGAATGTGCCACCAAGCACAGGAAAATACGAGGTCAAGATGGAGAGAAACAATTCATCCTTATTGTTGGAATTTCATTGAGAGTCATAGAATTATAAAGTTGTTATGGATCGTGGAGATCATTGTGTCTCCACTCCCCATCTGATGCATGAAGAGTCTCGTTCAGAGAGGTGGCACAGCTCGCCCAACCTGGTAGAGAAGCCAAGAGGAGAACCCAGGTGGCCTGACAGTCGGGCCATATGTTGACCCACCATTCGCTTACTCTTCTTCTGGACATTTTCCTCCTGTGCTTTGTCCTTTCCCTAAATATCCTGTTAGTTTTTTATGGCCTGTGCACTAATTATGGTCTTTATATTTTGAAATGCTTATTTAGGGGGAAAAAAAGAAACAAAAGAATATGCATGAGAGAATGTATGGCCCACAAAGCCTAAAATATTTGCTGTCTGACCCTTTCCATAAAAGCCTGGAAACTCCTAGCCCAAGTGACTTGAAATATATTCTTTTGGAAATTTAATTTCTCCTTCAGCTATTTGAAATTCTCTGTAGTCAGATACTGTAGCTTTCTAAGTTTCTTCCCCTTGTCTTCCCATTTTTTGAAAAGATGCCCATTTCTTTGGCTTCCTCTGTATAGTTGTCTCATAGACATACTAATAATACCTTTTAGACATTCCTTTGTCCACAGTGTCTCACAGTCTGACACCCCCCAGATATTAGTAAAATGGTTACTACTGTGTTCTTTAAAGAGACATGTGAACCAAGGCTCCGAGAAATTGTCCAGTGTCACGTGTACAAAACAAAGGGGCACAGCTAGCTGAACTGGAACTCAGATTGTTAGACTCCTTGTCCATTGGTCTTTCAAGTTCAGCGAATCTCTCCACTTCAGGAAATAGAATGATCTATTTAAGGCTGCTGATGTTTTGCACTGATCTGGAATGTCACAGGTTTTTTTATTTTTAGGTGAAAAAGAAGTGGAAAACATACACATTGCCTCCATTTAAGTTAACTGCGATATCTGAACCACCAAAGGGCCCTCTTTCGCTCCCACTCTAACTCACTTAGGCTGTCTGCAGAGGCAATGCTTGATAACTGGATCACACAGGAAACGTTTCCTCTAAGCAGAAGTGCGACCGCCGATACCAAGCCTTCGTGACTAACTAGAGCCCAGCTCCCATCTTTGTCTAGTGCCTTCTCTGCTGTTCTTTGAATTTTTTTGTTTTTAACCCATAGGTTTGATAATGACTGTGAGTAAACCCTGTTATTTTGGAAACCTGCTTCTGGGAATTGTAGGGGTGGATGTGAATCTGGCCTACATTCTTGAAGATGTCACATATTACCAAGACTCTTTGGCTTCCTACACTTTTCTCATAGATGACAAAGGTAATCTGCCAAAAGTTACTCATAGAATGGGTTTTTTTGGACGCCTAAAGAAAATAATATATAGATATTCTGATACTAACCAAGTAGGAAAATGATAGTATTTAAAGAAAAGCGGTGTGGCTAGGACTGCTCATCTGTAGCAAATAACCATAAGGCTGGCAGAGCAGATCTCCAAATTACATATTTGTTTCTATATTGTGTCAAGGGGTAGGGAACAGTTATTTGTAACATCAGGAAATTAGGCTTGAGAATTGAATAACACAAAGAAAGTCATTCTTTGGATCATTTTTTGCATATGTCTTCTTCTTTAGATTTACTGGCATTATGTGGTATTGGAACGTTTTATATTCATAAAACATAAACAGCCACCAATGCCTCTGAAATGTTCTTGATCAGACAGATGTTCGATAATTTAAGACATCACTCTATACTTCAAGAGTTTTACGTAAGCACTCATAAAACAGGTTCAGTTTTTATTGAACTGGTGAGTTACATCCTGAGAAGCTGAGTACTGGGCAGCTAGCCCAGAGATCCTGCATTTCAAGCCAGTGATGGGCACTTTTATTAGCATCAGTACTTCCTACTTCCAAACTATAACAGGTTTCTTATAGCATGCATTTTGTTTTTTTTCATTTCAGGATATACACTTATGCATCCATCTCTTACCAGACCATATTTATTATCAGAACCTCCCCTTCATACTGACATCATACATTACGAAAATATTCCAAAATTTGAGTTGGTTCGGCAAAATATCCTAAGGTAAGGAAAAGGTGAGGGTCGTACTATTTTTTCTCTGAGAATGGAACCCATCAAGGTCAAATATGAGTACTTACTATAGAGTTTAAAAGCAAATGCATAAATTATTTTAACGTTATCAAAAGTATACTCAGTAATTTTTCCATGAGGATAGTAGCCAAGATTTTGCTTACTTTGTATAACAGATAAGCTCTCTCAGAACTATTGTTTGAGTGAGGGTAATGTCTTGGAAATCAAACTCTGTGTTCACGTTGACTTTAGTGGTAAAATCAGATATATGGTATCTCATTTTTAAAAAAAAATACTTCAATGATACCAAATTGAAAAATGTTGGCAAAATAAAAGGTTAAGTTGAGGACCAGCTCTACTGCATTTGCCAAAAAATAGCTTGGCAAAGTAGGGTCCATTCCAAGTTGACAGCACAATCTTATACAACGTTTTCTCTTAAAATAAAAACAGATTGGATTTCTTCCAGCCATGATACATTATTCTGGCAGATGGTAACCTATAGAGAAATGTGTCTTTGTGCTCATTGGTTGAAAATTAATGGCTGAGTGATTTGAGACAAGTTAGTCTCTGGAAAGAATTAGAATTGGGGAGCAGGGATAGAGAGGAAGGAATGTTTTTAATGCAGAGCTGACATAATGCTTTTACGAAATTGAAAATCTCACATGATCTCTTTCAAAACTGATGAGCTTCATTGCTATTCAAAATCAGGAGGTGGTCATTGACTCACAGCTTCTTCCTTGCCTTTAATTAAGTGCTTAATTTTATCTTTCGCCTGAAGTATTTAATTCTGTTTGCCAACGCAGCCTCCCTCTGGGCAGCCAGATTATCGCAGTCCCTGTGAACTCATCCCTGTCTTGGCACATAAACAAGCTGAGAGAAACTGGAAAGGAGGCCTACAACGTTAGCTATGCCTGGAAGATGGTGAGTGTGAGGAAGTCGCTTCTGCTTGAAGAGCTACAGGGTACAGTGCTCTTCTTCGCATGGGAATTCTAGGGGACTGGAGTCTGATAACGTGACTCATCAGTTTCTAAAGTGATTGGAAAAAGAAGACATTCCATGGATGTTTTATAACTTTTCCCATTTTTGTTTATATAACCAATAATTGTTCATGGTGAATAAAGCAAACAATATAGAAGGATATAAAGTAGAAAGTAAACTGTGCCCTTTCCTTCTTCCTGCCCTTGCCTTCCCACCCCCCATAAGTAGTCTTGATCGACTTATAGAAAATTTATATATACACACAAGCATATATATGTGTATGTGTACACACATCCAAATGCTTGCGTGTCTTTAATGACTATATAGTATTGTGTTGTATAGATGGACCAAATTTCTTTAAACATTCCCCTATCAATACACATTTAGGTTATATCTAGTTAGTTTTCATCAGTTCAGCTCACATTATGGAGGTTGGGAGGTATGAAAGCATAAATGCCCTCTGACATTCTCCAAGAAAAAGAATTTTTTTTTTTTTTTTGAAACACATGCTTAGTCTGTCACCCAGGCTGGAGTGCAGTATTGTGATCATAGCTTACTGCAGCCTCTAACTCTCCCGGGTTCAGGTGATCCTCCTGCCTCAGCCTCCCAAGTAGCTGGGACTATAGGTGCATGCCACCACACCCAGCTAATTTTTTATTCATAATATTTTGTAGAGATGGGATTTCTCTATGTTGCCCAGGCTGGTCTTGAATTCTTGAATCCCCCTGCCTCAGCCTCCCAGAGTGCTGGGATTATAGGCATGAGCCACCACACCTGGTAGAGACCTTTAGATTAGAACTTGAATTATTCATATTCAACACAAGCAGATTGATAGTTTAGCCATAACTTGGGGCAGCCATTTCAGCTTTCTCATTCAGACATTGAGCCTCACAGAATCATAAAGAAACAGAATCTAACACTCCCTGTCCATGTCACCCATGTTTCTCTCCTCTATCCTTCCTTCCCAGCATAGCATAACAATGTCTTTGTAATGCCCCGAATACTGTAACTGACCAAAAGGATAGTAGACTTTCATTTTTATCATCAAATCTTAATCACTGGCCATAAAATGCAGTCATACTTGACAGTTTGTTGGATGGACATAGCTGAAATTTAACCTGTTGACTTCAAATGGATCCATTTATTCATTCCTTTATGAACTACTTATTGAACATGTACAATAAGGATAAAGGAGATTGACACTCTCCGCCCTCATAGAGCATCCAGCCTACCGGTGGATGCAGACAGTTAAGTAACAACTTGATACAGGATCTGTGTCTGGGTTAGGAATGATGGGAGTAGCCAACAGCCTTTAGTCTCCTCCAGCCTTGTTGTTTGGTTCATAAGGTGTCATGATGGCAATAGCAGTTACTAAAATGAAAATGAAACAAATGAAATAATAAATGAAACTTTCGGAAACTTATGTTTACAAGCCTAATTCTATTTTATTGTTTGTTTGGTAATACAGATTTAGGGAAGGTCAACATCTATTTAGAAATTCTTACAGCCAGCCGCCTCATTTTGAGAATTTTTTTTTGAGATTGATGGCAGCATCTGCCCTTATCCTTATATAATTTTAAAGATAAATTGCTTAATTTTTATATTAGAAAGGGTGAGCCAGCCACCAAAATTCTTAATTGGAAAATAGACTTTCGTATTTGAAATTGGAGATTGTTCACCTCCAGCATATCCTGATTGAAAGCAACTCAATTACATCCTGGAAAAATGTCTACGTTAATAATTGTTGGCATTAAAAGAGAAAGAAGGAAATGTTGGCATTTGAGTGACCTTCTTTGTACAGTAAATAGCCCCAGTTTTAACATTTTGCAAAGAAATATTACTTCTTAGTCTTTTCAGTGATACTAGTAAATTCTGGCCACTCTCCTTAGACTAATTAGATATAATCATGTACTCACTTCAGGTTGAAGCATTAGCTTTCTCAGAGTTCTGCAGTTGAGCAGATCACTTTAAGTGAAAAATTAAGGAGGTAGTAAGTAATGAGATGGAAAGATTTTTTTTTTTAAAGTGGTTTACCTGGTTACCCAGTAATAAGGGCAAATATTTTTAAGGTCTCTTTACTTTGGTGGGGAAAAGAGTAGGTACACATCTTATCCTAAGGAATAAAATGGATTCTTCTATTAATTATATAATTCAAATAGAGTTAGCTTATGCTGAGGGTAATTGGTTAAACTGCTTAGCATCCATAGACATAGGAGATACTGATGGATTATTTCACTGAGTTAATCTAACTATAACTTGAGAGATATGTTGGCAGCATTAAGAGATTACTTTCCCACTGTGTAATCTAAGTCCTTTTCTGAGCATTTTAGGAGGCTGTTTGTTATTACAGAAGGAATTCAATACCTATTTGAATAAATGTTCCCATGTTACACAGTCCTGGTCCACTCCAAAACAAGAATCCCATGTGCAATCAATGAAAAAAACTACTCCCCAGTCATGGAGAGCCCTTCTAGGAATGTCATAGTTTCTTTTAAAGCAGAGATTATTTTTGCAGCTAAGAACATGATAGAAAGACCTATATTTAAATCTGTTTTCCTAAGGACATTTATGAAGTGCTACTTTTAGAAGCTTGGGGTAAATTTTTATTTTTCTCTTACGAAGAGACCCAATTATAAAATTCTGGTCATTCTAGTAGGGTTTTGTCTTTTGCTTCCTTAGAATATGCAACATAGGAACCAAATGCCAATGCCACTTCAGAATACCTTGTCACTTTCTAATTTGGGGGGATGGAGGAAGAGGAT